CCCCCAGCGATTCAGGTGGAGACAGTCAGAGAGCTCCTCTTCCATCTGGACTGTCACAGGTCCATGGGACCGGATGGCCTACACCCTCGGGTGCTGAGGGAGCTGGCGGGGCTGATTGCCGAGCCGCTCTCGGCCATTTATCAGCGCTCCTGGTTAACTAGAGAGATCCCAGAGGATTGGAGTCTTGCTGATATGGCTCCCATCTTCAAGAAGGGCTGAAAGGAGGATCCGGGAAACTATAGGCCTGTTAGCCTGACCTTGGTTCCGAGAAAAGTAATGGAGCAAATCATCTTAGGTGAGATTGCACAAGCACGTGTGTGGTGTCCAGGGGATCGAGCCCAGCCAGCACGGCTTCATGAAAGGCAGGTCATGCTTGACCAATCTCATCTCCTCCTATGACTGGGTGTCCAGACTGGTAGATGAGGGAAGGGTTGTTGATGTAGTCTACTAGACTTCATTAAAGCCTTTGACATGGTCTCTCACAGGCTGCATCTGGGGAAACTGGCTGCCCGTGGCCTGGACAAGTACACACTCCTTTGGGTAAGAAGCTGGCTAGAGGGCCGTGCCCAACAGGTAGTGGTTAATGGAGTTAAGTCCAGCTGGCAACCTGTTTCAAGTAGTGTCCTCCAGGGGTCAGTACTGGGGCCTATCTTGTTGAATATCTTTATTGATGACCTTGATGAGGGGATTGAGTGTACCCTCAGTAAGTTTGCAGATAACACCAAGCTGGGAGGTGGTGTGGATCTGCGTGAGGGTAGGGAGGCCCTTCAGAGGGATCTGGATAAGCTGGATCGCTGGGCTGAGGTGAATAGGATGAGGTTCAACAAGGCCAAATGCCAGGTCCTGCACTTTGGCCACAACAACCCCATGCAGCGTTACAGGCTTGGGGATGAGTGGCTGGATGACTGTGAAGAGGAAAGGGACCTGGAGGTGTTGGTTGATGCTTGGCTGAACGTGAGCCGACAGTGTGCCCAGGTGGCCAAGAGTGCCAATGGCATCCTGGCCTGCATTAGAAATAGTGTGGCCAGCAGGGGCAGGGAGGTGATCATCCCCCTGTACTCAGCGCTGA